GTGGCAGAGAAGGACGAAGCAGCCTTTTGTGGATTCTCAACAAAGTCCATTAGATTAGGAAGATGTTATACCCAGGAGCAGGAAAACTTAGCCACTAAAGAAAAGCAACTATTTACAGAGGCATTCAATGGTGTAATAAAGCTACTTGTAAGTAATGGTCTCATTGGTGCCACAAAAGCTCTTTTGTTTCCAGTAAGAACGTCATTCTTTTCATAAGGCTCTTTTCTTAACAAAAAGATGGCACCTTTTGGAAGGGTGTTACTTCAGAATCTCTCTACATTCTTGGCCAAGAAGACGTTTTAGGTGGAGTTGCCCCACACGACAGCAAGAAGAGGTGCAAAAGGGATGTCACTTCATCTGACTTAATATCCAGGGCTTTTTTGGTAGAAAAAGTCCAGCAGAAACTCATTAGCATATTAGGCCACACCCCCTGACTGCACTGCTCATTAAGCATATTTGGCCGCATTCCCATGTTACCAGAAGTGTGGTCATCCAGCCACACCCACCTTTTGCTTCTTATTCTGTTTACCCTGTTTGTTGTCAAAACCCAGGGCTTTTTTTGTTGCAGGAACTCCTTTGCATGTTTATTTATATTTATTTATTTATTTTTGAGATTTCTATCCCGCCCTACCCGGTGGCTCAGGGCGGCTAACAACAAAGTTTAAAAATTTAGGACAATAAAAACAATATTACATATATAATAAAATCTGGTGCTTCAAAATCTACATATATTATACAAAATACACAACAACCCACATTTGCAGCTAGTGTTCTTAATAACGTGAGCGCCAGGATGTTAGGCCACACACCCCTAATGTAGCCAATCCTAATGAGTTCCTGCTGTTGGGTGTGGCCTATTATGCTAATGAGTCCCTGCTGGGTGTGGCCAACTCTGGAGCCAGCCGGAACTCCATTCCTGTGCGCTCCTGCCCAAAAATAGCCCTTGGAACATCTCAACATAAGCAAGTCACATTCTAAATGGAAGCTTGCCTATATTCTTATCCCTCTGGAGTGTTCCTTACTGCCACATAAGCTGAGCATATGGTTTTAAGAGCATATGGATTCATTTTTAAAGCTCACAAATGTTCCTCGATGGTTTCAACAAAACTGCACCCACTTCTTTCATGCCCTCAAAGTCGGCACCGCGCTGCAGGCTGCTGGAGGCCTGTCACCAAATAGGGACACGTTGAGACGCTTGCTTCAGAAGGACTAGAAGAGCTATCAAAACATTCTCCTTTTATTCATTTGTCGTATTAACCTCAGTGGTTCAAAAGCTACACGTTCTTTGCTTTGGTGGAAAGCATTCTTAAAAGCAGAGTTTTCAAGGCACAGACTCCCACTTGCGGTTCATGTCATGTTCTCTGTAGTATACAGTGGAAGATGCTAGTGAGGAGCATGCTTTCTTTGAATTGAGAAATAGATACCGAAGTTATGCTAATAAACGAAGGACGACCACCTACACACCAGAATAAAAAATCACAGCTGACTGGGGGGCAGGGGGAGAAGTCTTCAGAACTCCAGGGGCAAAAGGAAATATCTTGCTGAAAAATTTGCCAACGAAATCTGTATAATTCTGTTTTGCTGTATTGAGAGCTACCTCTCCACATAGGGCTGCAATGTGACGGCCACTGGAAAAGTCTGTTTGTACCACACATGCTGCAGTTTGTCTCGGTGCTATTACTAGAACCCCAGCCAGGAACATTTGGCGGTGTTTGCCTGCAGGGCAGTTTGGCTTTTTGCATCATCCTACCTGCGGTGGCTCAAGTGGTTGAGGCGCTGGACTGCAGGCTGTGGAAGGTCAGTAGTTCAGCAGTTCGAGACCCGGGCGCCGCAAGACGGAGTGAGCTCCCGTCTCTAGGTCCAGCTCCTGCCAACCTAGCAGTTCGAAAGCAAGAAATTGCAAGTAGATAAATAGGTACCACTTCGGTGGGAAGGTAACAGCGTTCCGTGCGCCTTGGTGTTTAGTCATGCCGGCCACATGACCACGGAAACGTCTTCGGACAGCGCTGGCTCTTCGGCTTGGAAACGGAGATGAGCACTGCAACCCTAGAGTTGGATTTGACTGGCTTTCGAGCAAGGGAACCTTTACCTTTACCTTACCAAGTAAAGAAGATTTTACCAAATATCAGGTGGAGAGGAGTGATCAAAAAGTGAAAAAGTCACCTGCGTCCACTCCAATGCGCCATTATGAGTTATCTGTGCATTTTAACAATCCATGATCACAGACAACTTGACTGATCCAGAGAGACAGCCAGGACATTTTGGCCACAGAGCCAAAGGTAACACTTCAAAAGACAAAATATAGATGGAGGTTTTATACTCTTGAGGAATCCGATAAAACTGAAGCCAGTAAGAGAGGGCGAAATGCATATAGAATGGTTAGCAGCATGGACACGGCCGATCAGAGCTGGTTTTTTTCCAAGTTTCGTTGACAAAGATGAAAGATACATCACTGGGAAATTCCAAGGGGTGGGCATGAGGGGTACATGAGGGGTACATATTTTAGAGTACAAGAAATTCTGAAGGTTATTGTCACATGATCTAATTAAATGGCAACAGTTCAGGAATACACACGGCTGGCGAACAAGAATAAAGGTCAAGGTATCACTGGTACAAAAATTCTTGACAAGGAATGGAAAACATTTGATTCTCAAGATTTCCCAAGGAAAAATTATTCTAATTGTATAGTTTTAAAGAAGGTGGTGCTGCCAATAAAATGAGATGCCAGAGTTGTGTTGCCCCACTGCAGAATGCAGTGTATTCTGAAACAGGGGCTGTTCACTGGACGATACAACAAGATGTCTCTAAGAGAGGGGGAGAATCCCAAAGACATCAAATGGCCCTTTGGCATAATAAAAATTAGAGCATGTACTGGAGTCAATGGCTCTGACCCAGTACTGGCATTTGCTGGACTGCCTTCTGAAGTCTCGAGTCAAATGTTAAAAATTAAATTTCAGCAACTTACGCACTACTAATAAAGCTAACAAACCTCTCGTGGCACTTAAACAAGGATACATATATTCTAGCTGGGAAGATGGAAAACAGACTCCACACCAAATTGCCTGGAGAAAAACAGCTTGGACCAAGGAACTTAGTCTAGACCTGATGCTTTCAGCCTCAGTTCTGGGGAACCCAATGAGAAGAATAGTGAAGGAGAAGGTAATACAAGTTTCCCTGAGAGACACATTGTCTACCACTACCGACCTTCCACAGTGTGCAGGCACAAGAGAAGAACAGGTTATGTTCTGGGATGTGCTGTCATCTCATGAGAGGTCTCAGTGCTCCATGTGAACTGAGCATGAACCCTAGAATATGCCTGCATCTCCAAAGTCCTCAGCCATGCACAGGAATTCTGTAGCAGACTTGCAGGAGTTCCTCAACAGGTGAGTGGACCAGGCAATGGCTCTGTGAAAGCTGAAAACCACTGGTCCAGACTAACAATTCGGGGTGGGTGGGTTTGTAATTAATGTCTACAAGCTACCTTTGCAAAACAAAACGCTGAGATCAATTTTCTTGGCAATGGACGGAAAAGTGTGATCTTTTTTGCTTGAGACCTGTGGCACAATATTTGTCCATGACTTGCTGCTTCCAAAATAAATTAAACTCATAGCTTACGTACTCATGAATTGCTCAGCTGAACAGATACTAATACTAAAAAAAAAAAAGCATTACTGAAAAAGCAATGACTTAAGGAAATGTTAAATAAAATTTGTACACCGAGATATAAATAAAAAAATACTGCAATAGTTTGCCTGACCGTTGGCATTTTGCAACCTACAGAGCAAAATTAAAAAACAAAAACAAAAAACCACACACACACAGAGAACCCCACATTTGATAGGCATTTGAATTCACACTAGTACGGCATTAAACTTCTGACTGAATGCCTCTTGAAAGGGAAATCTAAACATCTTTGTAGTATCCTGGCATCTATTTTGACAGACCTTCCAACATTTCTTCATGTCACACTCCACGCGTGTGTTTTTGATCAAGCTTGGACATAGCTATTTGTGATCTCGTTCATTTCAGATCCGTGCATGGTATATTTGCACATATACAAAACAGCAAGTACTTAGCAAATAAAAGTACATTAAACACTATATAAATAACTTCCCTTTTTAAAGCTAGCTAGGATACGGTTTACAGTACAAGGTTACAGGCACTTAAATTGTCAGAGAGGTTTAACTGTTCCACACTGTGTGTTCGGTCTTCAAAAACAACAACACATAACACTAGGAATATGATCTGAGTCAGGTTTAGTTATTCACGCCAGACTCGAAGGTGACTTTACTGCATAGTGTGTGGTAGCCACTGACTTTTGGTCATGGAACGCACTGTGGTTTTTCTATACAGCACGCACACAAATAAAGGAGGGTGGAAATCAATTTCCTTAACCAGGTTTCATGCTCTTGTTGCAAAGGCATCACAGAAGAAAATGGTAGCTTGGCATGAACTCAAATGGCTTCTCAGGTACTCCAAATGGCAGAGGTAAAATCCGGGGGCGCGCGCACACACACACAAACCATAAATGGCTTATTTATGTCAAATTACAAAGTGCCCCAGACTGATAATCGCAGGCGATTTCACCAAGGCTTGGTAAGATATCAGGTAGAAGGCAAAAAAGAAGAAAGAAAGCTTATTTTTCCATTGCTGTTGAATTTGTTTAACTTAAGGCTTTCACAGAAAGCACTAAATCTCTCTCTGAATGTGCAATTCAGTACTCAAAAGAGTTCTGTGGGACTCTGAAAGCATGATGAAAAATCTCAATGAAGCTTTTAAAAACAAAAAGTAAAACTTTAGAGGCTGACCACGTGTGTATCATATATAGCATATGTGGATACCATATTCTACAAAGTACTGTATGACTGAAGGTTAGCAGCCTGCGGAAGTGTGGTGAGGAACTGGGCTAAAAGATGCCTCCCCTTTCCCACCAGACCCGCTACTTGCTTGAGTGAAAAGCTCTAGAAGTCCAAACTTCACTCCTCAGTAACAATTATTGGTCAAATCTTGACATCCTGCGATTCTACCATCTTGCCCAGCGTCTTCTTAATCCTCAGAGCTGTCAGTCTTGAGGCAGGATTGTGGGCCCAACATTCACACATTAACTTCAATATTGCTCTTAAACACTGGAAAACAACAATAATAAGAGGGACTCTTTTGTAAAGGAACAGCTAAACAGAGTTGGTAATAAATAAGTGAAAAATGCACATTTTTTGCTAAACAGATAAAGACACACTGGATTTAGATCCAGGAGATTCATTCAGATAGGGGAACCGTTTTCCTTCGGCAAAAGGAGCCTTCCCTTGACACAAGATGCTCATGATGAATCAATCAGGATTCAGCTCAATGGATTGATAACTATCAAGGCCCAAAGTCTATGGGTCATGGATTGTATATTTAAATGAACAGGATTTTGAAGGGGATAAGGTCTTCGCTTCCAGATGCAGGTAATGATTCGTCTTAGAACTTATACTCTACAACAGGGGTGGCCAAACTTGCTTAACGTAAGAGCCACATAGAATAAACGTCAGATGTTTGAGAGCCGCAAGACATGAACAAATATTACACAGGTTTTTATTGAAAAATAAGCAAATTTGCTTTTTATTAATATTAAACGAGACTGCCAAAAATAAGGGGTAAAAACAGATAATGATATTTATTTGTCCAATGATATTTATTTGTCTGAGAGAGAAAGAGAGATGTGGAAAGAGAGAGAGAAACAAAGAAAGCAAATAGATGGGGGGAGGGAGCAAGGAAGGGGGGGAGGGAGGGAGGGAGGGTTTAAAGAGAGAAAGAGAGAAAGAAAGAAAGAAAGAAAGAAAGAAAGAAAGAAAGAAAGAAAGAAAGAAAGAAAGAAAGAAAGAAAGAAAGAAAGAAAGAAGGAAGGAAGGAAGGAAGGAAGGAAGGAAGATAGATGGGGGATGGAACGGGAAGAAAGAAGGAAGAGAAAGCAAATAGATGGGAAGCCTGCTGGGAGCTGCACAATATGTGTGAAAGAACCACATGTGGCTCCCGAGCCACAGTTTGGCCACCCCTGTTCTACAATGAACTTTTTTTGGGGGGGGGAGGATCAACAATGAACATACTAGGGATGTATCATGAAATGAAGAATTAATACTCTAGCTCCACATCCACAATACAATTTGCAGGCACATATAAAGGGACTAAGGAGCTGCGGTGGCTCAAGTGGTTAGGACGCTGAACTGCAGGCTGTCAACGGTCAGTAGTTCAGCAGTTCGAGACCCGGGTGCCGCATGACGGAGTGAGCTCCCGTCTCTAGTTCCAGCTCCTGCCAACCTAGCAGTTCGAAAGCAAGAAATTGCAAGTAGATAAATAGGTACCACTTCGGTGGGAAGGTAACAGCGTTCCGTGCGCTGTAGTGTCTAGTCATGCCGGCCACATGACCATGGAAACGTCTTTGAACAGCGCTGGCTCTTCGGCTTTGAAACGGAGCTGAGCACCGCAACCCTAGAGTTGGATTCGACTGGCTTTCGAGCAAGGGAACCTTTACCTTTATAAAGGGACTAGGAACATAAATCTGATCTCAATGACTGAAAGTCAAAGCTAAAAATATCCCAGGGACTACAATCATGAATTGCAAATTGTACATTTGGAACCACACAGTTTATAACTTGTGTATCCACTTGGCTCTTTTCTGTAATCAGCACATCTGCACAATTGGGGTATTTGAAAGCTGGTGATTTCAGATCATATAAATCATCATCACCATCATCGTCACCACCACCACCACTGTTTTGGTCAGAAGCTGAGAATGAAAGGCCAAGCAGAAGGGAACAGGCCTGTGTGCTCAGGAAGCCAAAGACTGTGAGCCACGTGGAAGGGTGAGACGCATGATAAGGAGAGAAATGCTGACCAGCAAACAATGGAAAATTCATCCAAACGATAATATATTATCCCTCTCCCCCTGCTGCCCCCAGAATGGAAGCTCCCTTTTCTCAACTGGAAAATAGGAACCCTTGATTTCTTTTGAAATAGTTACCTCATCACCATTCCATCGATTAGATACTACTGGGCGCAGATGCTTAACACACACCACCTCTCTCATATCCTCGTACGAAGGATCATTTGGCACCATATCATAATATGGTAATTGGTACTCTTCAACAATACCTGCAAAAGTAAATGATAGTGGGTTTACATTTCTATCATGGGTAACGTTGAAAAATTTTAGGCCATCTTGTGCTGACGGGAGACGAATACCCTTTCCAAAATTCAATCTGTTGCTTACGGAAGCCACACGGCTAGCTTTAGAAAGGCTTCACTTTCCACTGCAAAAGGACAAATCCTATAATATTTCTATCCCGTCTTCTCCACAAGGAGCTTAGCGTGGCTCAGGGAACCGCAGAAAGAGTGAAAGGAGCTGGGGGTTCGAGAATGGAAGGGATTAAAATGTAAGTTGGGGAAGGGGAGAAGGCCAATGAATCAAAATTTCCCTGGCCTAAAGAACGCCCGTCTTGCCTCAACCAGGGCCGGACCTTTCTCTGCCCTGGCCCCAGCCTGGTGGAATCATGCTCCCTATCGAGACCAGGGCCCTGCGGGATCTTCTTCAATTCCGCGGGGCCTGCAAGACGGAGCTGTTCCGCCAGGCCTTTGGTTGAGGCAGCGGGCGCCCATCTATGGCCTCCCTAGAGATGTGAAGGCCCGGGAAAAAAAACGGAAAAATTTGGGGGAAAACCCAGGTTTTTTCCTGAAGCCTTTTTTGTTTTTTCCCGAAAAATTGAAAAAAGAAAAGAAAAAAAATTGATTATGGAACGTTTTATTTTAACATGATGAATAAAATATTTTAAGACAAGGTGTTCAAATATTTTCCAAATCATTTAAAATATATATATATATATATGGTATCAGATTGATCTAATTTCTGTGCACTGAGGACATGCAAGTCCTAGGTTACAAACTGAACTCTCCAATGCAAGAACAAGATGCATTTCTTCCTTTAGGAGGTGCGATGGTCAGAAGAAAATAAAAAAAGTTTCAGTTTTGTTTTTGCATGTGGTTGGGTATTCTGTTTGTAATAATTGTTTGGATACACTATATTTTTAATATGCTAATTTCATGCCAAGTAAAAATGTCCATAGTCATATTTTATGTTCCTAAAGTAACAGAATGACTTTCAATCTAGAAAAGACAAAAGAAATGCTAATGTAGCTTTTCCCCCCAATTTTTCCGAAAATTTCCGTTTTCCCCCGAAAAAAACCCGGGCTTTTTTCCGAGCTTCAAAATTTCCGGAAATTTTACATCTCTAGGCCTCCCTGAGGTTGCTCTCACCTGTTTATCACCCGTCTACTGACCACTGACAACTGGCCTTTAACTCACGGTATCATCGGGCCAGAACTTTATAGCCAACTGACGCTGTTTTAAGCTGTACCCATTGTTTTAATTGTTATAATGTTCTGTCATGTTTTAATGTTTTAAACTGAAATTGTATTTATTCTAACGATGTTACCCGGCCTGAGCCCGCCCGCAGGATTGGGGGGGCGGGGATATAAATGCAAATAATAAATAAATAAATAAAACCATAAGCCTTCCAATCCTACACATTATTTTCAACTATGGCTGTGAAGCTCTCCATCCCTCAGCAGTCCGCTACAATCAGCAGAAGAAAGTGAAGAAAGGCCAGAGAGCACCCAAGGAACACACGCAAATTAAAAAATGTATAGGGGGCAAATATCGGACACCTTTTTGACAAGGCAATGAAGCTAATTTGAGTTTTACCCTCTTCGAGTTTTTGTGTTGCTTGGTTCAGGATACAATAAATAAAATGATAGTGTTCGAAGACAAGATTTGTGATTTACCTCCCGTGACACAACGCCGAGCCATTTCCCATATTATCAAGCCAAAGCTATAGATGTCGGCCATGATGTATGGTTGGAAATGATTTTTATTCAGACTTTCATCCAGGACTTCTGGTGCCATGTAACGTTTTGTTCCCACCCTTGTATTCAAAGGGACATCCACTTCATTTGTATCACTACATTAAAAAAAATCAGAAAATGACTGCAGTTTCGATGTTAATGTGAACTCCACAAGAATGAACTGCTCTATAACTGGAGTATTTTCAACAGACTGCATGGAGACCTCTTATGAAGGAAATCGTTCTACACAGCATATTTATACTACATGTGACCAGTGTTCCCTCTAAGCTGAGTTAGTGTGAGCTAGCTCATGGTTTTTTAGCCTCCGGCTCACAGATTTCTGTCTCCGCTCAGGAAGGATGGGGCTCCAGTGCAAACTAATTTATGCAGCAGCCAAATGGCTTGCTCACAACTTTAATGCCTGCAGCTCACAAAGTAGAATTTTTGCTCACAAGACTCCACAGCTTAGAGGGAACACTGCGACGATGTGACTAATGTTTTTCAGTCACAGCAATGTATACTGGATGTCGTTTTATAGCTCTTGGTTCAATTTCTCTGACAGTGCATATTAAACACACTGAAAGATTGGGTACGGAAGCTCTGTTTCTCTTTGGGACCTGCCTAAGAAGAACACTGCCCAGACCTGCATGGCCCAGGGTAGCCCGGTTTTGCCAGATTATGGAAGCTAGGCAGGGTCAGACCTGGTTGGGACACCCTACGTGGAGGCAGGAACCACCTCTGAACATCTCTAGCCTTGAATACCCAATTGGGTTGCTGTTAAGTCAGCTGTGGCTTGACGGCCCTTTCCACGACCAAGAAAAACACTAACATTTGTCCTCCCCTCCTTTGGAGGCAGGGAGATCAATTTGATTTTTAAAAGAAATCCTCCATCTTCAATGTCAGAATATTTGGCAACCACGTTTCATCTCAGAGGAGAGGATACCCAAGTCTACCCGGCAAAAAAAGTATGCATTTTCTCAAGGAAGTTGCTTTTATGACCAGACCCTGTTGGTCTTTGGTGTGCGGGGAACCACAGAAGTGGGGCGATCATGTTCCATCTCGTATCGATAATCTCTTCCAGGAATACCAAAACACGGCAGCGGATATGGTTCGTCCGCTTACCTGTTAAATTTGACAGCCAGGCCCAAATCAGCAATGCAGCAAGTCCCATTTCTCTTTATCAAGATGTTTTTACTCTTCAGATCTCGGTGCGCGATGGCGGGCTTCCCTTGCGTCCCATAGATCTCCGTGTGCAAATGACACAGCCCGCACGCAGCAGAGTACGCCAGTTTGAGCAAAGCTCTGTTGTCCAGAGTGGTACATTTCAGGAAATCATACAAAGATCCGTTTTCATGATAATCTGTAATCAAGTACAGCTGGGTCCAGGAGCCTGTGCCTTTAATATCTGCTGCTATAAAACCTGCAGAATTGAGGAACACAATGAGTATGAGACAAGCCCCACCCCCCATCAATAAATAAACATAGAATCATAGAGTTGGAAGGGACCTCCAGGGTCATCTAGTCCAATGGCCTGCACAATGCAGGAAATTCCCAAAGGCCTCCCCCCACACCACTAGTGACCAGTGTTCCCTCTAAGCTGAGTTAGTGTGAGCTAGCTCACAGTTTTTTAGCCTCCAGCTCACACATTTGTGCCTTAGCTCAGGAAGGATGGCTCCAGAGCAAACTAATTTATGCAGTAGCCAAATCACCTGCTCACAACTTTACTGCCAGTAACTCACAGGACTCCACAGCTTAGAGGGAACATTGCTAGTGACCCCTGTTTTATGCCCAGAAGATGGCATTTCCCTGGCTGTGTAAGAAAGGGCCATGAGAACTAAGCACTGATGCAACCCTTCCTGCCTTCCCTCTCGTGATCTGCCTGAATTCACAGAATCAGCATTGCTGCCAGATGGCCATCTAGCCTCTGTTTGAAAACCTCCAAAGAAGGAGAGCCCATCACCTCCCGAGGAAGCCTGTTTCACTGAGGAACCGCTCTGTTCGCTCTGTCAGGAAGTTCTTCCTAACGTTTAGCCGAAAACTCTTCTGATTTAATTTCAACCCATTGGTTCTGGTCCGACCTTCCGGGGCAACAGGAAACAACTCTGTACCATCCTCTATGTGACAGCCCTTCAGATACGTGAAGATGCTTTCATCATATCACCTCTCAGTCATCTCCTCTCCAGGCTAAACCCAGCGCCTTCAACCTTTCCTCATAGGACGTGGTCTCCAGACCTCTCACCATCTTCGTTGCCCTCCTCTGGACACGTCCCAGCTTGTGTCTATAATCTTCTTAAATTGTGGTGCTCAAAACTGAACACAATACTCTAGGTGAGGTCTAACCAGAGCAGAGTAAAGCGATATCACCACGTCAAGTGATAGAGACACTACTGTTGATAACACTCGTGGATTAATACTCTAGGGTCAAGCCATGCCTGAGACCTGGATTAGGGCCTTCTGCACGATCAATTCCTTCCCAAGAGATGCCCAAACCCAGTCACTCTGATATTTCCCTCTTAAGAACAGCCCTGCAAGGTAAGCAAGGCTGAAAGGGAGACTGATTGCCCACAAAGTAACTGAGCCTTTATGACAGCCAGCATGATGCAGTGCTTTGAGTCTCAGGTTATCTGGGACACCCAGGTTTGAACCCCCATGGAAGCCTGCTGGCACAATCACATACTCTCAGCCTAACCTACCTCAAAGGTTGTTGTGAGGATAAAACAGTGGAAGAGGAGAGTGATGTAAGTTGCTTTGGGTCCCCCATGGGGGGAAAAGATGAGGTATAAATGAAGTAAATAGTAAATAAAATTTCCACTAGGCTTGTAGCATAGACCTTATCTGAACTGGCGATTTAATCATTGCTTTATGGCATATTTCGTATTTGTTCTGCTATTTTATGTTTTCGTTACTATGGTTCCTGTTTTGGAACAGGAGGGGAATCTAGAATGGTAATATAAATAAACTACACAGCCTACAAATCTCAGATTCCCTACTCTTGTATAACTCGGTTATACAAGTTATATAATGGGAATACCTCACTAAAAACAGGAGAAGGATCCCACACCATAAACTTAACTGGGAAGTAGAAATAAGGTAAAGATTTGTTTTCCTGCAAATGTACACCCCAGAACAAATAAAAGAACGTTTGATCTTCCCTTCCAAATCTTGACAAGATTTTTGCTCTATTGTTTGCATTTTTTAAAAAAGACGATACATAAATGTTTTGTCTCCCTCCTCCACAGGGGAGGGAATACATTCCCATCAAAGCATCCCATTCCATACTCACCAAGTATGTTTTCATGACGCATGAGAACAGTCTGGTAAATCTCTGTTTCCCGAAACCAGCTGGCTTCCTCGGTGGTGAAAAACACTTTCACTGCCACTTTCTCACCCCGCCACTTCCCCATCCATACTTCTCCATATCGCCCTTTCCCGACTTGCCGCACCATCTGAATTTGTTTGGCAATAGTGCGCTGGACCTGAAGAAGAAATCCAAAATGGGTGAGCAAAATCACTAACGACACTGTTTGGCAGTCTTTACTAGTCAAGAAGAAGAGGAGGAGGAGGAGGAGGAGGAGGAGGAGGAGGAGAGATTGGATTTATACCCCGCCCTTCACTACCCAAAGGTGTCTCAGAGCGGCTTACAAACTCCTTTCCCTTCCCCTCCCAAGAGACACCCTGTGAGGTAGGTGAGGCTGAGAGAGCTCTGACAGAAACTGCTCTTTTTCAAGAACAGCTGTGCCAGAACTATGGCTTGCCCAAGGTCATCCAGTAGGTGCAAGTGGAGGAGTGGGGAATCAAACCCGGTTCCCCCAGATTAGAGTCCACGCACTTAACCACTACACCAAACTGGCAATGTGATTTCATTACCACTGTAATTTAATCCTTTGTGACACTGTTCCTTCATAGGAGATTACGGGAACTCACACAATTCATTACACAGGAACTTGCTTTTTCCATTTTAAATCTTTAAAATCTCGATTGCTGAAGTCAGTAGGATCAGTACCACAAATCATCACTTGATTAAGCCATAATTATTTTGATTTGAATCAGTGGAATCAACACCAATACTTTAAAAGTATAGGAAGCATTTGAGTAATGCTCTATGGAAAACTAAACTGCACTGAAATGAGTGCAACCTCTAAGATAATGCATTAAATTTGCCAAGCCAAAGAACTTTTAAATTAAGCACTTTTCAATTGCAGGAGCATAGTAAATCTTTGGCTTACCAACAAAGGAAGCCCGGAACCGCTGCCTGAGCTCTGCGACTGGTCAATAAGGTCCTTTAGGGACTCCCCAACAGGAATAAAGGCTTCATCCTGCTCCAGATCACGATTATAACACCGTCTTTTTGCAACCCACTTACAATAATGCCTGTAAAACAACATATCCTTAGCGTCAAGTATTCTCTCTCTCTCTCTCACACACACAGAATGAGTGGATTTGCAGTGCAATCTGAAGATGAGCCACACCCTTCCAAGCCTAGTAAAGGTTTCCCTTGCTCGAAAGCCAGTTGAATCCGACTCTAGGGCTGTGGTGCTCATCTCCGTTTCCAAGCCGAAGAGCCAGTGCTGTCCAAAGACATTCCCATAGTCATGTGGCCTGGTGCCAATAGATACGCTCATAATGCCATTGTACAGTCACCATATTGCTGCCAGCTGTTCTTGTTTCATTACTGTGGGTTGGCACAGTTGCTATAATCCATCCTAAGCTTTTAAGTGGTTATGTCATAAGTGACTGAGCAGGATTTTTTATAAAAAGCTTCATCCTAAACTCATGTTTTCTAAACAAAATTCCAAGTGGGCTCTAGATGGCCATCTGACAGCAATGCTGATTCTGTGAACTTAGGCAGATCATGAGAGGGAGGGCAAGAAGGGTTCCATCAGTGCTTGGTTCTTGTGGCCCTTTCTTACACGCCCAGGGAAATGCCGATCACCACTTTGGGGTTCGGAAGCAATTTTCTCCAGGCAGGTTTGGCCAGGGATCCTGGGAGGATTTTTGCCATCTTCTGGGCATGGAGCAGGGGTCACTGGGGGGAGTGGAGGGGAGATAGTTGTGAATTTTCTGCATTGTGCAGGGGGTTGAACTAGATGACTCTGGAGATCCCTTCCAACTCTATTATTCTTTGAAATGGAAAAAGAATGGCTGATTAGCCAACAGGACAAGTGATAACTTTAATTAGAAGGTTAAAGGTAAAGGTAAAGGTTCCCTTGCTCGAAAGCCAATTGAGTCCGACTCTAGGGTTGCGGTGCTCATCTCCGTTTCAAAGCCGAAGAGCCACCGCTGTCCGAAGACATTTCCGTGGTCATGCGGCCGGCATGACTAAACACCAAGACGCACGGAACGCTGTTACCTTCCCACCAAAGTGGTACCTGTTTATCTACTTGCAATTTCTTGCTTTCGAACTGCTAGGTTGGCAGGAGCTGGAACTAGAGACGGGAGCTCACTCCGCCATGCGGCACACTCGGGTCTCGAACTGCTGAACTACTGACCTTCTGCAGCCTGCAGTTCAGCGTCTTAACCACTTGAGCCACCGCAGCTCCAATTAGAAGGTTAAGGACTGCCAAAAGTCACACATTAGTTAGACACCGGCTTGGATGCACAAGGCACAGTGATGTGTAAGCAAGAATATAAACTGACCTTATACAGATCCAGCTGCGCAAGAACTTGTGCAACAGTTAGCACTCCACCCATATATTATAGCGTCCAGAAACTGGTTGCACAAGATTGTGCACAAATGGGAATGCAAGTAGGGATACAATTTTGTGCAAGGAGCTACTGTGGTCTTTTTCTTGTGTTTCTGTTTGTGTAAGAACTCTAGAACAAGCAGACGTTCTGCACTAGTTCCAGCCCATCCTGTTGTATTTGTACTATATTAAAAGAAGGCTGGATTTCCAAAGTCCTTCGGTGTAGAGGCAGTACTTGCGGTGGTAGGAGCAATGGAGAGTCTGCCCTGCTCACTTTCTCCCTGCACAAAAAACACCTTGTGTGGCACTGAGCCTATACAAAGTCAGAAGTTCACCTACCACAAAAAGGGGCGTAATCAAGAACACGTTCACACACACATCCCAGGTGACGCACACAATATTTTACAATGGAAGATTGCTTCAGCATACATCCTGCATTCTGAGGACTAAAATGGCCTGGTGAGTTCCATGCCTGAGCAGTTTCTTTATATTTGTCAGATATGGAAATCTAACTTCATTAAACTGTGGCACACCTCAAGAGCTTGTTGCATGCCAAAAAAAAAAATCGGAGCCCCAGATAAGATATTTTACCTGTAGCAGAAACAGCTAACCAAGATGATCATCACTATTATGCAGACTGCCATAGAAATGAGAACAGCTATCCAGCGAATGCCACCGTCAAAGAGACCATCTAAATAAAAATATAGTACCGTTGCTTATCAGTAATTCATATTCAAATTAAAAAGGGACAGTTGTCTCTTTCTCTCAGATATCATTAAACATTACCGGGAACATTCTTAAAATTCCTGCCACCATTTCGCACAACGAGGCAGCACCTGTATTCGCAGTGACAAAGCGCACACTGCCAACGTATGGGTGTGTGTGAGAAAAGGAGACCTACATTCATGTGCCTTGTAAACTCAATTAACTATGCCAGCTCTGGCCTCAAACTGAAATGGATTTTGTTAATTCAAGCAATTATCTGGGATTTTAAAAATTTTTTAAAAAAAAAAAAAAAAAAAGGCTATATTTTCCTGAAAAAAAATCCAGCCATTTGTAAAAATCAAGTATAACAAAGGCGGTGATGCATGAAACCCAGGAAACCGAAATGATTGGCTGGAGCACCTTCCCTATGAGGAAAGGCTGAAGAGTCTGGGTCTTTTCAGTTGAGAAAAGTAATGACTAAGGGTGACATGATAGAGGTTTATAAAATAATGCATGCGGTGGAGAGAGTTGACAAAGACAAATTTTGCTTCCTCTCCCAAAATACTGGAACTCAAGAGCATCCAACAAAGCTGATGGACAGTACACAGTGAATGATTAAAATGTGGAATTTGCTACCAGAGGATGTAGTGAGGGTCACAGGAATAAACAGCTTTAAAAGGGGTTTGGATAGATTCATGGAGGATAAGTCTATCAACAGCTACTAGCCATGGTGACCGAGGGGAACCTCCACATCCAGAGGCACTAAAGCCTCTGAATCCCAGAGCCAGGAAGCAACATCAGAGGAAGGCCTCGGCCTCTCTGCCCTGCTGTTGGCCCTCCAGAGGAACTGGCTGGCCACTGGGTGAGACGGGATGCTGGGCTAGATGAACCACTGGTCTGATCCAGCAGGGATCGTCTTAGGTTTCTCAGTCCTGCTGCTATTCCTTTCAACGTGGTTTAGTTCCCACACTGAGGATATGGACAGCAGGGAAACAAGTCCGAGAGACGAGAAAACCAAGGAAACTCATGATGCTCCCTTTCTTCTCTTATTAACATGCCATGAATATGTACTCTTAAAAACATGGACTGAATAATAAAAGTTAAAATCTGGGAGAAAGGAGTCACAGTTATTGGGGGGGACGGACACATCACTGATTAAATAAGCTTCAGCGTCCCTTGTCATTGAAGTCAGCCTAAGCTCTTGGGTGGGAGGGGATGAGGAAGGGCACCCACGGTGATCCATATGGCTCCTTAGCAGATTCCTAAACTTCTAAAGCAGCCCCCCCTCAGTGATCCTCCGAAGTCAGGCTTCCCCATTTGCACTCCAGCTGTAGCTTCTTCAGTTGTGCAGGAGGTTTCTCTGCTGGGTCCCCTCTGATATTCTGCGGCAATTGTTCAGGGGGTGTATTATCTGTGCAAAGACTGTCGTGAGAAGGGCATGTAAAAGGCCCCAGTGCTCCACAGGAGCTCCAAGTATATTCCTATGAATCCCGCCCACGGAAAATTTGCAACTTCTGTACCTGGACTAGGCGGAGGTAAAGTGGGTTGCAAATCTCGATTGCAGAAATCTGTCTGGCAGCATTCGATTGTCCGCCGCAGCTGTGCTTTTCGAGAATCCTGCAGCAAAAAGGAAATATTTACGTTTACCACCCTGTCTTACAGGTATTCCTTGCCGTTCTCAGCCGTGGCAGAAGCTACCACAGTGTGGAAAGGTTAATTCGGAAATGGAAAACACGCCCTTTATGGCTGATATTACCTTACGGTAATGGAATGGCGAGGAGGTTATGAATGCCTGTCTAAAGGAGGGGGTATTCCAGTGGCTTTGAAGGAGCAGTTGTGAAATTCCTCCTAAAAAGGACCGACTGGCTAGTGGGTAATAAGGGTGTGCACTCGGTATTTACCAAGCCAAATAAATAACTGAAAAATACCTTATCGGTATACAGAGATCTGTATCTGGCTACTGAAGTAGCCCCGCCCAAATAAAAGCTGATATTAGATCAGTTTGATTTATTGCATATGGCCAATGGCCATTACAAATACAATACAATAAAAGTTATAAAATGCAGAATAGGATCAGCATTTAAAACACAAGAAGATAGATATATATGTCTGACATAACACTGCTTAAAATAATATAAGATAAAAATCAGAACATATAAAATAAGGTTTGGAGCAAGGTTACTAAAAAGGACCTTAAATACTTTGACGTAGCCCTGGCTATTTAGCTGGAGAGGATTTAGCCAACTTGATACAGATTTCCTTTGCCGCTAGGGCAAAGAGTGCAACCTTGTACGAATACTCTGGCTCCACTTCTGCAAGTAAAGTTAAAAATTTGCCGAATGTGGAGCAAGGGCCCAATTTATCTAAGATTGTGCCAAAGAACTTCTTTCTTGGGAGTGAATAAAGTGGACAATCCAGGAGGTAATGACACAGATCTTCAGGGACTGAGCCACCACATATACAAAGGTGCTCAGTTGCTGGTGTTTTGGTATATCGGCCAAAAGCTGATATTATTTGGCTTTTATTCAAACATTCTGAGTGAAGGGAAGGGGTTTAAAGTTTAAACTCCCTCCTTTCCCCTCCTGGAGTCGGCTGCGGCATGACTCCAGATAGAAAGGAAGAGGGTTTAAACTTTAAACACAGCGTACTAGCAGTAGCTACATGAAAACCTGACTAAAAGAATAATGTTCAGACTAAACAAGCATCTCTCTCTCTCTCTCTCTCTCTCTCTCTCTCTCTCTCTCTCTCTCTCTCTCTCTCTGAAAACTGCTGAAAGACAGGTGGGAGTACCTTGCACTGGAAATCTGAACCTTCATACTTCATGCAGCCTGAAGCAAGTGTGCTTTCTCCATTTTCATCTTCTTCAATGATGGCAAAGCAATGTCCATTGGTCCTGAAATAGTTCAACTTGGTTTTAGCTCTCCAAGCACTGTCATGCATTCAACAACCAACCTATTTATTAGGATATATTCTTCTATTGCTCTTTCCAGTTCTACAAAAGACATTGGACTCATGCAGCTCTGATGAGTATACTGCACTCTAGGGAGAGGAAGGGGTAGTTCACCACAGACAGAATGTGTTTGGGAATGCTTTGTTTCACAGCATGGAAAGTCCCTTCCTAGATATCCTGGAAACAAGAAGAACTGTTCCCATTGGCTGCATAAATACAGTGAACACTTATTCAAGATTATTGGGACATATGCTGCATGTTGTGTGAGAGTATCTCTGCCGTGGAAAACAGGCTCATCATCAGGGCTTTTTTTTGTAGAAAAAGCCCAGCAGGAACTCATTAGCATAATAGGCCACTCCCAACAACAGAAACTCATTAGCCTATCCAGCCACACCCCTGAAAGCATAGCTCATTAGCATATTAGGCCATACCCCCACATTACTAGCAGTATGGTCATCCAGCCACACCCACCTTTTTCTTCTTATGCTGTTTACCTTTTTGTTGTCAAAACCTAGGGCTTTTTTTGTAGCAGGAACTCCTTTGCATGTTAGGCCACACACCCCTAATGTAGCCAATCCTAATGAGTTTCTGCTGTTGGGTGTGGCCTATTATGCTAATAAATCCCTGGGAACCAGCCGGGACTCCGTTCCTGTGCATTCATGCCTGCCCAAAAAAAGCCCTGCTCATCATCACCTACAAACAACAACAGTTAACTTCCTGACTGTGTCTGAAAGCAGGTCAAGGAGTTTCCAACTCATTTCTCCCCCAAGAATGTCTCCTCTTTTCATTGCATCGTGAAACCTGTATTACTCTTCGAAGATTTCAGAAGTCAACTGAAACAGAGGTTTTAAAATTCTTCTATGCACATGTAAAGAAAAGTCCCTGATGCATGCCAAGATCTAAATATGGACTGTTCCACCATTTATTCAAATACAAGCACATCGCTAAAACATGGTGCCTATAAATGCAAACAAACTGTTTCCGCTGCCTGACCCTAGCCACGTATATTCAGGGTCAAGTCCCACTGATGCCCATGGTGCATACTTCTCTTTGGTTAGCTGGCACTGCACCTTTCACATAGCTGCAGAAAGCAGGGTCGTCAGGCCTAGGTTGGGAAACTCCTGGAGATCTGGGGATGGAGCGTGGGGTGGGCAGGGAGCTCAGCTGGGTACAATGCCATGGTATCCACCCCCTCCAAAGCGTCCATTTTCTCCACGGGAACTGATCTCTGTGGTCTGGAGATGAGCTGTAATTCCAGGGGATCCCCAGGCCCCATCTGGAGGCTGGCAGCCCTAGTGCGGAGTGACGAGGGTTTTAGGAGACACTAGTGACACTATATAGGAGCTATGGCGGCTCAAGTGGTTAAGATGCTGAACTGCAGGCTGTGGAAGGTCAGTAGTTCAGCAGTTCGAGACCCGGGTGCCGCATGACGGAGTGAGCTCCCGTCTCTAGTTCCAGCTCCTGCCAACCTAGCAGTTCGAAAGCAAGAAACTACAAGTAGATAAATAGGTACCACTTCGGTGGGAAGGCAACAGCGTTCTGTGCGCCTTGGTGTTTAGTCATGCCGGCCACATGACCACGGAAATGTCTTCGGACAGCGGTGGCTCTTCGGCTTGGAAACGGAGATGAGCACCGCAACCCTAGAGTCGGATTCGACTGGCTTCCGAGCAAGGGAACCTTTACCTTTTACCTAGTGACACTACAGAACTCCTGGCTGAGGCTTGGGACACCAAGCTGACAAGAGGACATAAGACAGAGATGACTCCATCCCTGCAGGGAGATCTCCAGTCATAGTTTATAAGGAAGTTGAGAGACTTCTAGAACAGAGCATGTGACACAGGCCTATGAGGAGGCAGTGAGGATGGCAAAGCAAGTTTTCTTCTCTGCCACTGGTGAACTGGCTAAAACATGTCCCATCAAAATTATTTAGGGTGGTTCGGGGTCCTGAACAGTTTTACTCTCCCATTTATAAGTTCAGGGCAACGAGCAACTAAAAAAAACTCATACGTTCTGGGCAACAAACAACTAAAAAAACCTAGCCCCATAACAGACATCTAGCAATATTGATACCTCATATCTTTCACAATCCACATTACAGTTTTATCGAACAATGTGAATAAATAATACCTGTGTTTTCAGTATTCCTGAGGCTACAAAAAACTATTTTGGGGGGCTTTTTGCTGAAGGCAACTAGGCGTGAGGAATGCTGAAAACTGAGATAACTGTCCCGATAGATTGATAAAACTGTAATATGGAATGTAGAAGGTGTAAGGGATCAATACTGATAGCTGTCTATTTTAGGCTATGTTTTAAGTATTTTATTCTTAATGGTAGACATTGTTCACTCTCTAATTATTGTCGCTCATTCTCTGAACTGTTTTTAAAGCCTAAGAATAAATCATAAGATTGAGATAACAAATTAATTCAATATTAATCTAATCAATCTAATAGTATTGATGCTCAATGGATACGCGTGCTTCAGAATCACAGGGCAGTTTTTTCCATTTAAAATGGGATTTAACAAGTACACAAGAATCTGGTTTTCTACACCAGCTAATGACAGAGAGCGGCACAGATGTTAACTCCCTGGTCACTGACAGACCATTTGTGAAGCCAAGACTCACGAGGACCACAGAGATTAGGGATCAGTGGTTTAAAACATTCGCACCTTATACTCTTCATAAGATAGCAATTAGAACAGTCTGACCTCAGAGATGGTTCACTGATGGCCCTCCAACACGTAATACATACATTTTTTTAAATCATATCATTATTTATCATCAAGAGGAAATGGTTCCTAATCTGGCTAGAATACTTACTCGCACGTATTATTAATTGCACCTTCTGGACAGTGCCCTGAACAGTAGCACTTCAAAAAAGGCAACGTGTCCTCTGGAGCCAGGGTTACTCCATCCTCCTGCTTGTTTTGATTGGGATCTGACTTCATCCCTGTCCCATGAAGCATGCTGTCTAGATTCTGTCCTGCACGGTGTGAAAAAAAGAATATAATGGTTTCTTTTGAACCGCTGACTTGCATAGAGAATGTAGATATTTAGGCAGCAGTGGCCCCTCTGAAGACCTGATACGATTGACTCCCCCCTTCCCTGAAAAATCTGACTGTTCATTTGCATATTGTGGCTTACACCGTGAGAAGCTCTGGCTTGACACTGTTTACCAATAAGAAGCTCCATTATAGTTCAATAGAGTTGAATTCAAGGTATATTTGGGGATCAGACTGAACAGAAGCTTAATGAAACATACTGAGTCACACAATCATTCTTGTTTTACTGGCAGACAATCCCCATAACCTTTGCAACAGTGGCCTGCAACCTCACCAGAGCAAGGGCACACCTTTATCCCACAGGGGCAGCATGGGACATACTGAACAGCCAGAACGACAGGAAGTCATGTGACACCACAGTCACATTTCAAGAAGAGGATGTGTATGGGGGGGGGGGGAGTGTTTCTATACCTGTTTGTGATCAAAAGGAATCCACATCCCCCCACATCTTGCCTCACCATTGTGCTATTCCTCTCAGACTCTGCACAAAGAGAGGTAGGAGGCATGGCACCTTTGCTCTCTATGTGCACACACTGGTAGCAGGGTCCTTCCAAAAAGCAGTATAAAAACCAATAGCTCTGCAGGAGCTTATGACCCAACAGCCAGGGCTCCAAAACTCACCTGAAGATTGTGGCTCTGGATTAAAGACACCTGCTTTACAGAACCTTTTAAGACTCTCAAAAATTAACATGCTGTAAACTTTCGTCTTGTTGTTGAAAATTAGAATCTACTGTTTTGCAAGAAGATACAGGTAGTGATAAAGCTGAACACGCTATGAACAGCAAAGTATAATAGTTCTACCTTTCTGATTAAGGGGGAAAATTCCAACATGGATTCTTAGATAAACCAAAGCCATTGTAATATGCTTTTGGTATTCTGAGGTCAGGCCTTAAACCACAATTACCGTGATTAATATGAAATGCTTATTATGTATATTGTTGGCAGTTTTGTAGGCAACTTGAAAGGTTAAAAGACAGAGGCTATTCATAGCACCCCACTCCAGCGTTCTTCTTATTTACTACTGTCTTAACTCTTCCCTAACACCTCAGCTTCATGTCATTCACTGACTTGAAGGCCTACAGACATATTCCCTTAAGAACACAAGCCAGAGAAAGTGGTGCATACACTCTTTTTTTTTTCTCTTGCCTAAAGAAAGTAATGTGGGTTTTCCCTGGAAACCCTTCCAATTCAAATTTAAGTAATGTTAGCCAAATTTAAAGAATACTAGCTGAGACAATGTGTTGTTGTTCAGTCGCAGTTGACTCCGACTCTTCGCGACCCCATGGACTAGATCACGCCAGGCCTTCCGGTCTTCCGCCGTCCTCTGAAGTTTGCTCAATTTCATGTTCGTTGCATCTATGACACTGTCTAACCATCTCATCCTTTGCCGTCCCCATCTTCTTTGACCTTCGATCTTTCCCAGCATCAGGGTCTTCTCCAGTGAGTGCTCCCTTCTCATTTGGTGGCCAAAGTATTTGAGCTTCAGTTTCATCTGGCCTTCCAGGGAACAGTCAGGGTTGATTTCTTTTAGGATTGACTGATTTGATCTCCTTGCAGTCCAAGGGACTCTCAAGAGTCTTCTCCAGCACCATAGTTCAAAAGAATCTATTCTTCGGCGCTCGGCCTTCCTTACAGTCCAACTCTGAGACAATAAACCACGTCAAAACCTGGATCATATATAAGCACTGGGGTTCATCCACGCTTCGTTTCTCAACTGATTTGCAGCACAACAGCCCTGACAACTATAAACAGACTTATGTTTACAACTGAGAGGTGGAAAATTTTCCACTGAAAAATACGGCACTGTAAAAATTTCTGGGAAATCCCGCCCCCCGGCCATCACTGCCTAAAGCTAACACGCTGTCTTGAAATTAAATTTGAAAATAACATGCATGACGTTTAACATTATTTTCTTTACTTCTTTAACTCCTTGTCTTTAAAAATGCCAGTTAATACGTATTTGCATATATCTAGAATCCATTGTAAAGTACTATTCTAGGATCTTTTCTCCATCTGACATTCGAGTTTCAGCAAATTAAAAAATAAATAAGGGACATAATGTTCGAGTATAAGGAATGTTGTATGCTGCAATAAATTGGATTTAAAACACAGGAGTTTTTTATATCGACGTGTTAACAGAAATAGTGTGGAAGGCTTCCTATCTTGCTAGGCACAGACAGCCAAAATCACACACTCTCTGGCAAGATTTTCCACTTTAGAGAAAAGGGTTAAAGTGCCACCTTTCTTAATAATCTATTTTTCCCCAGCACCTTTTCATAATATATATTTGAAGAGAAATATATACTGCAAAAGCTCCTTCAGCCTCACAGTAATCCACATTCTAGCTACCATCCCCTTCTCCTGCCTGCCTCAGGGCTTGCTATGCAGGAAATCAGTAGGATTAATCAAGCATTTAAAGGTAGGCTTGAAATTAACAGATCTTCAATGCACCTGAATGTGTTGTGGGCTGTAATATCCTTGGGGACGTCCAGTTTGAGGGCCTTGTATGCCTCCATGATACAGGATTATTTGACATCTTGTTGCCAAGGTTTGGAGGAGATATGTTGATGAACAAAGAGTCCAATTTCCTAATGCCCTCTGTCCAAACTAGAAAGGTCTTGAGAGATCTCTTTACGTCTAGTGTATGGCACAGCTTTTCCTTGGGGTGTTGTGGCTTAGGGCACAAGGAAGGCAAATATTTTATTTATTTATTTATTATTCACATTTCTATCCCGCCCTCCCCGGAGGCATAGATCTCCTGTGTTCTGTGGAAGGCTGAGTTGACCTTTGGCAAAAAGGTAAGATTGGTGCATAGGATCACTTTGTCTTTATGAAAAACACACAGACACGGCTTAAGAGACAATGTGCCCAGTTCAGAAACATATCTCGCCAAGCAACAAGGTCTTCATTCTCAGCCATCATACTGGAACTGTCTGAATTGGTTCAAATGGAGCTCTGGTCAGTGCGGTCAGCACTGCATGGAGTCTCCATGTAGGGAACTTGTGTGTCTGCAGAGGATTTTTGTGTAGCTCCCTGAAAGAAACGCCTGACATGAGGATGGTGAGAAATTATAACACCATCTATCTTTGGTAGTATGGTACATAGAGATGCTAGCTATCATCTGAGGGTGGGCAGTTTGAGACCTGCGTTCAGGCCATCCTGCAAGAAGTTTAGGATCACATCCAGAGAAGGATTCTGTGGGGGAGGGACCCCTCTCCTTCTACTCCATCGGTGAAAGGCTTTCCAAGACATGTTATATATTCAAATTGTTGACTGTTTCCTGGAAGCCAACAAGATGTTCATTACCCTGTGAGAGTAACCTAATTTCAAGAACACGCCGTTCAATTTCCAGTCGGATGCAGCCATTCTGGATGCCACAGTGGCCCTTGAGTCAGCATGTCCGGTAATACCAGTAGGTGAAGTGGGGTTCCCACCACTAGTTCCTGGATCGCTGAGAACCATGGACGCCATGGCCATAAAGGAGCCACCACCAGGACTGTCGCCCTTTGTTCTCAAATCTTCTTGATCATCCTGGATATGACTGGGACCGGAGGAAAGGCAAAGCAGACCTTCCCGCCAGTGGGAAGTCAGGGCATCCGTGGCTTTGGCTTGAGGGTGGAAGAAACATGTGAAATATCTGGGTAGTTGGTGATTGACTGGCAAGGCAAATAGATCCACCAGTGGTGTTCCAAAGTGTCTGGTGATCATCAGAAAGAGTTCCTCCTTGAGTGACCATTCTCCCTCTCGTATAGTTGTTCTGCTGAGCCAGTTTGCTTGCGTGTTCATTATCCTGATGTGCTCAGCCCGAATGGATGTCAGGTGAGATTCAGCCCAACATAGGATCCCCCTGGTTGTTGAGGTAAGTCTTGGTAGCTATGCTGTCCATTCAAATCAGGACATGGTGACCCAATGTCCTGTCCTTGAAATGTAGCACTGCCAGACGTGTCACTTGAAATTCTAGTAGGTTGATGAGAAGTCTGGCATCGTGCCATGACCATCTGCCCTGGACCGGGATACCATCCAGGGTTGCTCCCCATCCCGTCAGACTGGCATCTGTGAAGATCTGTTTTACAGTGGTGACACGAAAGGTCTTGCCTTGCAGGCGATTCTGTCTGTCCGTCCACCAATGTAGACTGGATTTGACTGTTGCGGGGACCTGGACACTCATGGTGGATCTCGTCATCACTTGTAACTAGTATGGTTTGAGTAAATTTTGAAATGGCCTGGAGTGTAGGTGTCCCCACTGTATGACCTCGTTGGCCACCATGAATCCCTGCATCTTGGCTAAGGGCATCAGCTTTGTGGATGTGAACATGATCACTACCCTTGTCAGCTGAATAGTCTTCTTGAGTTTGATTTCTGGGGGAAAAAACATGATGTCTCAGTATCTATCATGACCCCCAGGTGCTCTAGACGTCTTGTTGACGTACGGGAGCTTTTCTGTAGATTGACTAGGAAGCCGAAGTGTTGCAAACATTGAATGGTCTCCTGAGTATCTATGATAGACTTGTCTTTGGATCCCTATAATGTCAAGAGGTCGTCTAGGTATGGGTGGATGTGTATCCCCTTCCTCCTCAACTGAATGATCAAATGGCTAAGTACCTTTGAGAATACTCTGGGAACCGTTGACGAGCCGAAGGGTAGAGCTCTGAATTGCAGGTGAAGACTTCCGACAAAGAACCTCAGAAAACGTCTGTGGGTGAGCAGAATGGGGATATATAAGTAAGCTTCCATCAAGTCTATGGACGACATAAACTGTCCCAGTTGCAGGGCCTCCACTATGGACCTGAGTGTTTCCATCCGGATGTGTTGGCGTCTGATGTATTTGTTTAGAAACTTCAGGTCCAGGATCGCCCTCCAGTCTCTGTTTTTCTTGGGGGCTGTAAAAAAGATTGAGTAAACTCCCCATCCCTGTTTGGATACTGGGACCACCTCCACTGCCCTGATGTCCAACAAATGTTGCATGGTTTGGTTTGTAATTAGCTGCTTCTGCTTGTTCTTGTGAAATGGAGAACGGATAAATCTTCCTGGTGGCATTGTCAAGAACTCTTTAAAGTATCCCTGAGAGACCACCTTTAATGTCCAAGAGTCTACCCATGTGGAGGAGGAGTCCACCTACTGGAAAGGAGTGATAGTCATGCCTTGGGGGACTTGTTGCCTTGATCGGGTCTGTCATCCCTGTTGGTGGCCTGTTGATTGAACTTTGCATTATTGAATCCTCTTTTAAAATAGGATCTAGCTGAGCTCCAGGTATTCTTTCTGTAGTTTTGCTTGAAACATGGGAGAGTGCTTTGAGAGCAAAAGGAACGAGGGTTGGTTCTCCCATCGCTATGTCTTAGGATTTTAGGCATGGCTTTTTTCTTTTCTTGGGTCTCCACCAAGATTTTGTCCGGTGCCTCACCAAAAAGCCTATCACCCTGGAAGGCTGTAACAATATACTTGGAGTGCAAGTCTGCTTGCCATGCTCTCAACCAGAGCACCGTACTGACAACTGCCACAAATGACATGGCTCTGGCCCGTAGCTAACATGGGGCCCACGGGGTCCGGCCCCCTAGTGTTTCTTCTGGGCCCCCTCCCTCCTGGGCTGCCCCCAAAGTGTTCTAACTTACCACCTGCACTGTACTTCCATTTAATTAGCTGGTTGGCCCCCTGTGGCCTCCTCCTAAAGAATTCCCTAGCTACAGGGCTGGCTAGGAATACTATTATATCCAGGGAAGCATCTGCCATGAAGGCAGTGGATTTCATGACCCTGTTGATGCCTTCTAGGAGTTTGCGGCTGTCTCCTGGAATAAGTTGGGTAATTTTTCCAAGCCAGACTATGGCTGCCCTAGTAACAACAGAAGCAGTGGAGGATGTCTTGATGGCCAAGGCCATAATCTCATACACTTTTCTTTAATGCCACCTCTACCTTTTTACGCAGTGCATCTCTCACAGCCCCGCAACCATTCTCAGAGGGATCATATGTCTGGAGGACTGTTATCGGGGCATCTACTAGTGAGACCTGGAACAGATTGTTGGCAAAGGAAGGTAAGTCACAGAGCCTCTCAAAAGAGGCAGGGAACTGTCGATTGGCCATTGGCTTAAGCCATTCTGCACTCACCCTTCACTCAAAAAATTCTGGGAAGGGAAAAACTTTTTCCGTGGAGTCTACCCTGGGGGGAAAAAATTCCTGTATCCCCTTGGGTCTAGTTTTGAGGCCTGACTTGGCCGGGTGTTCCTCATCAGAAGGGGTCTCCGGAAGTTCTAAAGCTGCCAGGGTTTTGTTTAGCAGATAAAGGCAGTCCTCTGGTTTGAATAAGAGTGGAGACTGCTCAGGAACAATGAGCTCCTCAGACTCCTGATCTGAGGAGAATTCCCCTTCCTCCCTATCCCCGCGTTCAGTATTCATGATCCCCCAGGGATGGTCCCTCCCCTGCTTTTTGAGTAGAGACTGCTTTTGTGCCACCTTGGTGGGCCAACTGAAAACGTGTCCCTGGGGAGTGGGTCTGGGAGTGGGGGAAGATGAAGAGGAATCTGAGTCATTTCCCTGAGCATTAATGATCTCAGATCTGCAGAGGGTGACAAACTCCTCTCTCATGGTTTTCTTTAGCAGATGCCGGACAGGTGGAGAAAAAAGTCAGTGCTTCGTCATCCTCCTCCGTGTCCTGTAAGGCCGATTTAGAGGGAATTGTGGGTTATGACCTGAGTGAGGGCATCCCCATGTAGAGTCAGAGCCATCTCCTGGGCCGTAGGCAAGCCAGTGAGAGTCTCGGGCAGGTCACGTGTTCCCACCAATTCCAGCTTAACAAAATGGCCGCTGCTTGTAGCTGCCCAAACAGAAGTGGGCCACGACTGGAGACAGACACTTCACTTCAGTTGGTCATGATGGAGTGTGTGGAGCATGGGAAGTTGAGAAGACGTGCCGGCCCTGACTTCGTTGTGCTCTGTGGCGATAGCCACAAGTGAAGCATCTGTTTCTCCTTCAGAGAGGAAATAGTCCAAGAAGTAAAGAAGGGGAAAGCTCCAAAGATTAAAGAAGGCATCCAAGGATTAGAGAATGAGAAGTCAGAAACGGAGGTAGAATAGGCTGAGAAAATGTAAGTGAAGAGGTAGGAAGGAGGAAGGCAAAATAGAAAGCAAAATGAACAGTGGGTCTAGTAGGCAGAAGCTGCTTTTCCCTTTGAGGCAGGAACAGAACTGGCAAAATGGGCAACTCCCACACTACAGGAAGAGGAAATGTTTTTAGTTCCTGCCTCCCTGATAGGACAGTGGGAATCGCCCAAGATGTCCTCCGCCTCAGAGGCAGAACACAGTATTTTTTAGCAATTTGGATCATGCTACTGCTTGGAATTATCCCTTACTTTAAGGAAGAATACCAACAGAAGCTAAACAGGCCACTGCGACTCATTAATTTTACCCTCGTACAAGCGATCTGAAGGAATCCTGATGTGTTCAGCACAAAATGAAACCTTGTATGGCAACTTATCCACAACTTTATACATGTAATGCAGATTTCAAGTCTGTTAAAACCTCTTCTCCCAGCTCGTTTCAGCTCCTGGGCTCATAAATCACTAAGGGGGCACGTCAAAACCCACTTTGGGGTCCAAGCCTACAATAGGAGAACTAATACGTATACCAATAAGGTGACAGTTAGAAGTCTCCGAAAACATATATAAATGGACTAAGTGCTGAATGAAAACTAGTGCTCTTTTTAGTAAAGGGCAAAGCATAGCCCATGGATCAGTGGGGCGTAGCCCTAATATGTATTCTTTCTGGATCCCACAGCAAGTCCGGCAGCTACTTAGACTCTTATGTACCTAAATATATCTCCCATTGATCCGAGCTTCCTGTAATGCTTAAATATTTATAAATCAAAATTCATAACACTGTTTTAATTATCAACTGCAGTGGGCACAGCATTGGATCCAAGCTGTTACAGCAGACAGTGTTACAGTAGACAGTCAAATGTATTAAAATTACAGTATCCACAATTTGAAGGGGAAAAACAGTTAAGTGTGCATCTTTCCCGCCCTCTTCCATTTAACAACTTTCAAGGACAAATGTGAACATTTCAAAACTGTTCTGCTGCCGCCGCAGATGTGGGAGTTCTAATACCACCTTCCTGGTTTGATTGAGAGGCCTGGTATGAAACATATGGAACAGCTCCCACTGAACATGCAGAGTGCTGATCTGATTAAAAATTATGCATGGAACATTAATGACATGATTTTTAACTACATTTATTTCTGTTCATTATCAAAACTAAGGTGAAAAATTCTGTAGAGTTCTGCGAATATGTTTATCTGTGTGAGCAACACATGCCATAATTTGCAGGCCCCATTTCAAACACCGACTGGGCTGGATTCAACCAGCTTTACTGCAGGTGAAAAAGAAAAGAGAGTTCCCATTTGACCTCCCAGAAGGGTTATGTTGGGGATCACAGGACCTACATGTGCAAAAGCCATGTGGGACGGAAGCTGTGGCAAGAAGAACTAGCCAAGACTGAGTGGAACAGCTGGCTAGTTCCAACCTTTTCAAAACAGGATTCAGCTGGTTAGTAATGAAACCAGTCTAACTGAATTATACAGGAAGCAATTCATGTCCTAAAAGGATGCCTGCCTGTCCTTCCAGTCATCTTAACAACTTCCCGTTTGGGCTTCCTATGCATTAGAAACAGCAACACGATATACTGTAACATTAGCTAGAACTAATGCACTAAGGCAAATTTGGCACTGAAAGACAGCTATCACTGAAAGAGGCCCAAGAATTTACGGGGACAAGCTGAAGAAAAAATAATCAAAAAATAATGAAAAGGATTACAAAATTTTACCACGGTTATAATTATGGACTAGACCTACATGTCTGAAATTAGAAATTATATGTTTGAAAGAATATACTAAACCAACAACTCTTTCTGTGAGATGCAGATTTTATCATTTCCGTGTCCTCAATGAAACTGTCAACTATGTCTGCAATTTTCACTTGGTTTTTCAATGACTCAGCTCATGTCTTTGAAATTTTCTAGCGACTTAAGTCTATACTCAGAAAATGATGTTATATATACCCGTAATAACTGAAAGAAGCATGGATTCACACACACACACACACCTCAAGGAGGCATGGATCCAAGCATCTTTTCCACTGGTGAAAAAAGGAGGGCGGAGTGGCTCTTTTTGTAGCAGGAACTCCTTTGCATATTAGGCCACACCCCCCAATGTAGCCAATCCTCCAAGAGCTTACAGAGCTCTTCTTACAGGAGCTACTGTAAGCTCTTGGAGGATTGGCTACATTAGGGGTGTGTCGCCTAATATGCAAATGAGAACCTGCTACAAAAAGAGCCCTGTAAAATCTAAAAGGCTATGCTGGGGATCATGGGACTTGCATGAACTAAAACCACACAGGACTAAGACTGTAGTAAAATTGGGAACTGAGCAAGCTTGAGTGGGAAAGCTCTCTGAATCAAACCACAGAACAAATTTAATTTTTTTTTTTTTTAACACAGAACAAATGTCCAGTGGCACCTTTCAGAGCAACAAACCTTTGTTGGTCTTGAAGGTGCCACCGGACTCAAAGTTTGTTCTCCTGCTTCAAATCAACACAGCTTCCACCTGGATCTGAACCCAACCATATTTATACCTCTGTTATCTTTCCTCGTCAAGCAAAACTAATGGATTGCTCTGACTGATAGAACGTGCATATGCATACAGCAAGCAAACTTTCTACTATGTTAGTACAAAGTTGAAAGCTTGTTTCTCTTAACTATTTAAAAACACTGTAGCCGTTTTCAGTTTAAATCGTTTATTTTTCTATCTTTCTTCTTCTCTTGCACCAGAAATATCAGACACACCACATTATTTGTTAAGTTCAAATATTTTCTGAGTTACTCAATGGGTAAGACTAGACATGGGCAGAAGTGCAATGTATACAATCCAGCACCGCTTAAATAGAAATCTTGTTGCTGGGATCCAAATGGCATGCTCTTCTTTTGTAAACTAACCAAGGATTCAGCTGGCTGTACACAAGAATCTTCCCCTTTCACCAGCTCTCATACCACACACCTAAAATGCTGTGCAAGTGTTTGGGTTCCAAAGACTTTAAATGTTCAGAAGTCTGGACCCTATTCTGGTACCAGAGGACCAGATACTTTGGAGTGTGTGTGTGTGTGTTTTAAATTAGGGCCACAACTGAATTTACAAAAACTGTCGTGGTGGGAATATTTGGCATTACATAATTTACGGAATGACATGCGTTTATTCATTAATATTGAATTGAGGCATAAAGACAGATATACATTATTATGGGAGAATGAGCTAGATACACTTGAAATAATGTATATGATACAGCTGAAGACTTTGCTTTGTCTGTAAGGGAGGCATAGTATAAGACATTGTGCCAATAGTCTCTGACTCCAGTGACACTTAAAACAGAATGTTCTGAACTGACACATTTAAATGTTGGCAGTGTTTGACATTTCCTACATCTTCAGTAGAGTTGTACTAATATCGAGTAGTTTTAAATGCTCTGTTCTGTAATTGATGGAATTCATATTGGATGTGATCCTGTTCATGTTTTACTGAATTATGTCAGCACAAATTTTCAACCCAGTATTAGATTACCAATATTTAAAATCTTTCATCATAAAAATTGTTCTGGGTAGGGTATTGGAAAACAACAGCAGTCCTTGCAATGAGAATACAGTTGGTCAAGGTTTTATGGTAAGTAGAAATGTTACAACCCTTGGAGCTCCCTTCGGTCCGTGTCTAGTGGCCTCTTGCAGGGACCTGATCCCAAGATATAGCTCAGTCATCAGCTGTCACCAGGGGAAGGGCCTTCTCAGTTGGGGACTCTACTCTGTGGAATGCATGCTTGGATGACCCCTGTGCCCTGCCAGACTTTTTAGTTTCTGCAGGTCATGCAAGGCCGAATTGTTTAGGTTTGCCTTTGGAGGATATTCAACATGTGTAGGTTGTTTTTATTAGTGGCATAGTCCTATCCAGGGCCATGTTTCGGCAGGAACGCACAGGAACGGAGTTCCGGCTGGCTCCCAAGTTGGCCACGCCCAGCAGGAACTCATTAGCATAATAGGCCACACCCAACAGCAGAAACGCATTAGGACTGGCTACATTAGGGGTGTGTGGCCTAACATGCAAAGGCCTGTGGCTCTATCTTTTCATAACCTTTAAGGTGCCACCAGACAAATTAAACACCTTTCCTCGGAGGAAGCTGCATGGCCCTTAACTGGCCCAGGGGGGAAGTCAGTTTGGACCGGGGCAGGGGTCATTTCGTAGAAAAAGAGCTAGGGGAACTCATTAGCATAACTCATTAGCAGCTCCACTGCCGAGCCCCATGAGGGGCCCGGCGGTGGACCTGCAAGGCCAGCGGGAGTGCAAGGAAGCCCCGCGAAGGCCCTCCCTGGCCCCAGGCAGGCAGGGGTGGGGAGAGGCAGGGAGGAAGCAACTTACCCTCCCTCTTCTCCTGCTGGCTGAATGAGGGCCGGAAGCGGGGCGGCCGGAAGCAGGGGGCGGGGCTTTGTCATGTGCCCCACCCCCCGTACCTCACCCAGGGGAACTGCATTCCCCCGCGTCCCCCCCGAAATGACCTCTGGTGTGGCCTAATATGCTAATGAGCTATGCTGTCAGGGGTGTGGCCTAATATGCCAATGAGTTTCTGCTGTTGGGTGTGGCCTATTATGCTAATGAGTTCCCGCTGGGCTTTTTCTACAAAAAAAGCCCTGGTGCTATCCATGTATTTTAATCATTTATTACTTTAATGTTAGTATTTGTTATTTGTTTTCATACTATTTTTACCTTAGTTTATGGCTTTAAGGTTGTAAGTTGCTGCAAGACCCTTTGGGTAAGCAGCGACTTTAAAAAAAATCTAACAAATAAATAATTATACTAACTGCTAATTTTTGTTGCAGAAACTGCTTTTTGCCATCAGTATTTCCCCCTAGAAATGGATTCCCTTTATTGGATACTGCAACAGACATCGTAACTTTAGAAACTGAAGGAATGCTTTTCTGCAGTTAATTATTCAGGTTTCCTTTATTTTCCTTGTAAATCTCACGTGGATATTATTTTATAATTATATTTTATGAACGTGTTAAAATCTACTAAAATGTTTAAAAGTGGGGGGGGGGAATCTAAATCGGATGTTATTATTTTATGCATGGCATTATCAAACTGGTGCTGGCAAACATCCTGTAGATGTGCATGTTCAGTTTAGAACACTGTAAGTCTCAGAGGTCAGGAGTTTGAAAATCACCTGGGTATTCAATTCACGATGTTTTCAATTTCTTTGGCAAGACTGGTTGCTACCTTTGATGGCACACGCAATTCTTAAAATACTGGCTTGTTAATATTTCATTTATCCAATTTAAAACCAACAAAATAAAAACCCCAAATAACCCCCTCCAAAGACAGCTGAAGTCTATAGCCAATGAAAAGCTTTGGCAAATCAGGGGGCCTTCCGGCACCTCCTGAAAGTTTCTGAAGACAGCACTCCCATCACCCTCCAAAAATTGGAGCTACCCTAGAGGAAGACATGGGCTCCGGTAATCAGATGGGCTACCTCCAGTAGTGGAACAGCCAGCAGGTGGCAGCTTGAGGACTGTTGTTGGCACAGTAGGTGGCACAATCAGAAAATTCTTTCGTCTTCCCTCCCCAAAATAAACTTCAGTTGTAAAACATTCCTTGAGGGAATGGATATACATCTGTGTTTATCTATACAAGTCCTCATTTGTGTTCACACGTTAAAGAGAACGTCTGTTTCAGTCTGCAGTTCAAACAAAAAACAGTACGTTGGCTAGACATATTAATTTTATCAATAAAAAATATAAAACAAAAATCAAGTTGCAGAAGTGTGATTTTACCTTGAACGTGAGAAACAATTAAGAAGACACAGAAGCCCAGCACTCTGATGTAAACTTGCAGACAAATCATTGTTCACATTTATATCCTTCCTGTGCACTGTCACCCTTGGCAACCGGCCCTGCTGTGTGGCAAGTTTTAAGCTGGGCTGTTTAGTGAAATCCGATAGCCGATTTGGAAGCCAGCTGAAGCAGCGATTATTCCAGCTTGTTTTCTGAAAAACAAATGAAATTAAATATTTGATCAGATGGACCAGCAGTTAAATGCTTAAAATGGAAGAGTATCTCAAGCGAACTAGATGCAAGATCAAAAAATGATATCCACATTCATCTAAATATATTAACATGACTGAAGTATAATCCACTAATCATTAGTTTAATCAATTTTATAATTAGGCATCATTTTAAAATTTACAGGTTCACAGCTAATTATTATGCAATTAAATTTTCAGTATTATACAATACAAGGTTTTACAGGGACATCTCATTTCCTCCCTCCCACACTGTTTTCTCTTTCTTGAAAACCCCCATAGCCTCCCCCCTTGCCCGGCAATCTATGGCCAAGTGGCATTGTGCCAGCTGCCAGGCCCACTTGAGCAGCTGGGAAACAGTAAGGACCTGCAGAGGGCATCACAGTGTATTGCCCCCTCCCCACACTGTTCCCCTTTCCCCCCTCCCGGTCCTCACAACATTTCTTCTTTCCCTCCTCCTGGCAACCCCCATATCCTTACTTTTCCCTGCTTCATTCTTTCCCTCCCACTCTGCCCCCCTTTCAGTTATGTTTATTTCATTTATAACACCCCACCTTTCTTCACAATGAGGACCCAAAGCAGCCTCCATAATTCTCCTCTCCTCCATTTTATCCTCACAACAATTCTGTCAGGTATGTCAGGCTGAGGATCTGTAACTGGTCCAAGGTCACCCAGTGAGCCTCCAAAGCACAGTGGGAATCTGAACCTGGGTCTCAGCCATTCAAGTTTGAAACTCTAACCATGGCACCACACTATTTATTTATTTTATTTATTTAGTTAGTTCTATTTATACCCCGCCCTCCCTGCGTGCGGGCTCAGGGCGGCTTACAGCAGTAAGGCACTCAGTGCAATAAAACACAATAAAACAATTTAAAACAATTAACAATTAGGGTTGCCAGCCCCCCCCCGGGGGTGGGGAAACCCCCTCTGAGAGGCCTGTTACCTGCAAGCCTGCATCGGGCCGCTGGGGTGGGGGGAACCCCACCTCCAAAGTGTGTGACGTGCCCGGCGTGAAGACGTCACCCAGAGGTGACCTCATCGTGTTGGGCACGTTGCAGGGGGATGCTCTATCATTCGAGGGAAAACTCCATGGTTCTCGCTGGAATGATTGTGGCCCCACCCCCAACATGCCCTATGCAATGACGTCACTTCCGGGTGACACCATCGCAGCGCGCACACCAGAAGACTTCTGGGGAGGTTCAGGACTCCACCCACTTTTTCGTAAGTACGAGTTGGCAACACTATACCACACTAGCTTTTGTGGGGTGGCTGCTGCTGAACAGTAGCAGGCAGCTAGTCCTGGCTGAGCGATGCAAGTCACATGGTATCAACTCACCCAGTTGTTGATGCCTAGCCCCAATGACTCCTCCCTCAAAGGCCAAAACAGTCCTGCAAAGCGCCTCCCTTCCCCTCCTGCCTTTTACTAACAGAAACTAAGGCGTGAAAGCTAGCAATAGTATTGCGGTTGCCTAACAAACTCAACAGCCACTGAGCAAGCATTCATTTTTGAAAACTACAGGCACTCGTTATATTATTTGGGGGGGGATTTAAACTCCCCAATATATTTCCGTTTTAGATTCCAGATTTTTCTGGGTGAGGTTTGTGGAAAAATCTCTCTTATACGTTCATGGCTCCAGTCTCTTGATTTGAGGATCCACAGATCTGGCCATGTCGAAAATTAGATATACTGATTGAAGTAAATGTTTAAAATATTTCAAACATAACTCGAAAGTTGCTGTATGTTAAAGAACAATAACTATTCACAGCACCTCTAATCCACCTCCAGAGAAGTTACTGCTGTTTAGTGCACTGCTGGAAATATTCTAGAGCATTGAACAGCTAACGCATTCTCCCTTTCTCTCACACACATACAAACCGCTCCCTCAGGGGGTTACAGTCTTCAGTAGTTCTAATTACACAGTTATTTACATCTTTCACTTATCTCATTCCAAAGATATACTGGTCCTTTTTTTAAAGAATTGACTTCATTTTCTAAGAAAGAATGCATTACTTTCAAATGTCATTCCTACAATAACAAAGCATCAATGATCACCCCATTCTACCAAACCAATCTAGATATTATATTTATATATGAACAGTGGACAAATACCAACAGGGGAAATGCTCTCACTTTTAAATGCATGACAGTCTACAAAGTTACATTTTACAGAAGCAAGGCAGCCAAATTGCACTAAAATTACAAGCTCGCCTTTCAGGGGCAAAGTGAAAAAACATGGAGAAATTTCACATTACCCTTTTTAAGCCTGTTTGAGGCCGTTTTTGATCCATTGTGGAGTAAACCGGTATAGGGCTGCCATTTCACACATGGCTTTCCCCTACTGGTTAACATCTGGATCTGAAGCGGTTTGCCATTTCAGACTGCACTGCTTTTTCCTGCCGTTTTTCGCCCGTGCAGGCGATCTCCGGCTTTTTTCTTTGAATGTTCGTTTTAGAGTGCTATAGCGTTATAACACAACACTCCAGGCATTCCAATGGGGTTGCTATAATGCTGTTTTGCTGTTGTGTTATAGCGCTCTAGCGCTCTAAAGTGAACGTTTTAAAAAAGCCGGAGATCACCCACATGGGTGAAAAATGGCGGGAAAAAGCGTTTCGGATCCGGGAGAAGAAACTGAAGACTACTTGGAAGTGGTTTACAGGTAAAACAGTTCAGCCCCGTTTCCTGAACGGAACAGAAGCGTGTGTGTGTGAAAGTACAAATATATTCCAGTAGGGAACCGGTTCTAAAACAGTTCTGTCTGAAATGTCAGACCAGAAACCATTTGGGAACCGTTCCTGAACCGGAATATATCGCCTGTCTGAAATTCCTCATGGTGAAATTAAAATGCACCCGTTGCAGCAATTTCTTGATGCAGCTTCTTCAGCAGTTGGTTGAGACGAACTAGGTCTCCAAGGGATAACCAGCAATTTGGACACCTAAGCAGTTATAATATCCATAATACAGATTGTGCACTAAGATAGACAGAATCCTGATTTTGCCTCTTTGGCCTCTTGTTTGAGTGGTCTTGACCCCTTCACCCCTGCTCAGCCTGGTGCTATTCTTGAATGGGGGAAAAAACCCTTGTATTTTTTCAAGGATGTGCTGCAATTACCGCTGGTGGCCGCTTCTGCCATAAATAACTCAATCTGTCTGCTGGCAGGACTCAAGGACTTTTCATTTTAATTAGAGCTTCATAAGCATTTAACATGGAGACAAATTAGCAACAGAGCACAGAGGTGTCTGTCACTTTCAATTTGCGCATGCAAGGGGCAGCCAGCCCTCGACCTGTGGCCTACTTTTCACACATCTGTGACTTTGTAGTAATGAAGAAACAAAGCACCTTCCTCACCACCAGAAACAGAACTGCTGCACTGTAACGTGGTCTATGCCCAGTGTGCACTAATGCCAACAAACAAGAAACCACTGTGATAAAATGACAATGATACATTTAATAAATTTAATAAATTCTGTAGACATTTTGCAGTATAGTAAAAAATTCAGACAAAAGCAAAACAGAGTCCAACATATTCATTTTCTCAACAGAGTCCAACATGTTCATTTTCTCTTTTCTCGATGAGTACACCGGTTTTTACACTCATTTCAGCTATCTTCCTCATGAGTAATCTTATAAAGTTGGAAGGTGTTTTCTTCTTAATAAAATATCCTGTAAAAAGGATAGTTTTGAGGAGTGGAAACAAACATGAAGCATGAGGGTGTCGAGCTCAATGTCTCGTTTGCTGTTTTGTTTGGGGAAATTCCAGAGAAATTCCCCACCCTTCACTGCCAAAGGAGTCTCAGAGCGGCTTACAAACTCCTTTCCCTTCCCCTCCCCACAACAGACACCCTGTGAGGCAGGTGGGGCTGAGAGAGCTCTTTCAAGAACTGCTCATGAGAGTACAGCTCTGAAACAACTTGTAACTGACCCAAGGTCACACTATCAGCTGCATGTGCAGGAGTGGAGAATCAAACCTTAATTTTTACTGTGCATTATCCTCCAAATTCTATGCTTTCTAAATCTGTAGCAAACAAGTAAGGTGATGAAACATACTGATTCAATTTTTGTTGATACATACATATATATATAGTCTGAACAAGAGGGTAATGTCAAATCAATTCTGAAATAAAATATAAAATCCCTGCAAGAAGTAATCAAACAAGAAGAAATGCAGATAACAAAGGAGCAGGGTTTCTACATGTGGTAGTTTTTTTATAGTAAGTCTTCCTGCACATGATATAATTTACTTTTTCTTTTGAGTTTCTAGACACTCTAAATGACTGTGCTTTGGAGCAGATGGTCACGGAACCTACCAGGGGAGAGGCGATCCTTGAATGATAAAAGGGTTGGAACACTTTCCCTATGAGGAAAGGTTAAAGCGCTTAGTACTCTTTAGCTTGGGGAAACGACGACTGAGGGGTGAAATGACTGAGGTTTATAAGATTATGCAGGTAGAGAAAGAGGTACTTTTCTCCCTTTCTCACAATACAAGAACTCATGGGTACTTCATGAAATTGCTGAGCGGTCGGGTTAGAACGGATAAAAGGAAGTACTTCTTCACCCAAAGAGTGATTAACACTTGGAATTCACAGGAAGTGGTGGCGGCTACAAGCATGGACAGCTTCAAGAGGGAATTAGGTAAGTATATGGAGCAGAGGTCCATCAGTGGCTATTAGCCACAAGGTATAGATGGGGGCTCTGGGGCAAGTGATGCTCTGTCATCTTGGTGCTTGGGGGGGGGGGGGTCAACAGTGGGAGGGCTTCTAATGTCCTGGCCCCACTGGTGGACCTCCTGATGGCGCCTGGTATTTTTGGCCACTGTGTGACACAGAGTGTTGGACTGGATGGGCCTTTGGCCTGATCCAACATTGGTGTCTCTTATGTTCTTTGCTAATTCATACACAACTTCCTGTGAGAATTTAAAAAATTCCCATTAATTTTCTAGATACCATTAGAACTTGTATCCAGAGC